ACAGTCGAAGAGCTCCGCATGTACAAACCCAGTAGGTGGTTTCCCATGTTTGGAGCTCTTAGCGGGACTCCACAATATAAAGGAGAGCTGTTCTTCTGCTCTTCAGCGACTTTCAACTCTATCACCTTCTTCCTCTTTCCAAAAGCTTCTAGAGGACGACGCATGAGAAGGACCTGGGCGCGCTTCTCTACTCAAAATTTTACTATTACCGACAAATGTTGGCGGAGCGCTTTGCTGGCCGGATTCTACTACTCAAACCATCGCTTTTCCAAGGCTATGACCGCTGTTTGGTGTTCTGCTCCAAACGTCATCACATCTATCGTGTGACGATGTGAAAGCATTCATCCGGACTATGGCAGCTTTCGGAAACTGAAGGTTCAATGTGGACGCCACATGAGCTGGGAAAGAGCTAGAAAGGGTATAAATACCCTCTCTGCTTGCCAAAACTCTTCTTTTTCACAACATTCGGTCACAACAGCAAAAGTGACTTTTTTTCAAAACAACACCATCCCTTGCGATGTGGTATTTTCTCTGAAATGGACTACGACTACTACGTATGTCTTGCGGTCCTTCCTCCTCTTCCCGAAATCGACAGTGTCGATTTGATGTGTTGCCTCCACCAGCGGGGTTTACCATCGTACAATATGCTCAAACAGCGAACCCAGACGTTATCTTGTTCCCCATGCTCAGTACTGTAATATCTCGGGGCCTTTTCAAACATACTTGCAACACAAGATACATTCCACGCGGCGGCTCGGAGGCTTTCAATACATAAGCTCTCTCGTCACTGTTTTCCATTGCTTCTTCTGTTCAGCGGTGCTTGCAATCATCGAAAGATACAGGCACAAAGTTTTATGTGCGAGCTGTCCAACAAAAAAGCGATATGGAACAATGCCATGAGACGTTTCCGTCAACTTCACCGATGGTATTTCAAGACGAGACTCGTGTCTTCAGTACACTAAGATCAAAGTCTGTATGTCTTAGCTTCGGTGACATAGTTACTTGGGCGAAATGGCGCATGTATAGATTTCATGAGAGCGTGCGAGTATCGAACGACTGTAGCGAAGGAGTATAAAGCCTTCTCTTCACTCTTCGCCATCTGCGTTGTCTACACCTCAATCCTGACTTCGCTCTCTCCAAAAATCGCGCATGAGCTCATTCCATGCGGGAATAGAGTCTGCTTTTCGCTAGCAAGCTAACAAGAAACGCATGCCAGTTCCAGCCCGCGTATCCCATCGCATATCGAAAAACGGTAGGGGCGTTTCTGATGACCTGTCGAGTAGGAAAAGTCGATGCATTATACGCACACCAGTGACATGCAGTCCCCATAGCGTTCTTATGGGAACGCCTTGCGCGAAAGCGAGCCTCGCTCTGTCTGTGTTGTCTTCTTGCCAAATTGATGTTCTCCTGCCAATGCTTGTCAAAATTCCATCCCATGTTCATCGGCGACGACGTTAAAGCCAATGGTTATTAATAGTCTTCCGTTTATCGACTCATGTCCATCCATGTCTATAGCCACGTATTGAGGTCTTTGAAGAACACAGACTGTATAGGGAGAGCCGACGCATCGACTATCACGATGCCACCGGAAGGTTTTCGTATCGACCGTGGTCAAGACAGGAGCAAAGTCCGCATCATGGCCTTCTCCGCATCGCGCACAGTCTCCTTCAATGATTCATGCCAGCCTCGCCGTTGTCAATAATAGCAAGATCGGGTTGGAGTTGCCCCTTGGCAGCAACACGAGTTCGTACAGCTATTAGCAGCATCTGTGCTTCCTCTGTGCTTTCTCCGCGTGTGGTGCTTTTTGCTTATCAACGAGCCACACCGAGGTCAAAGCCACAGACTCCACAGGGAGGTGGCTGATAAAAGCAGTGTTCAAGCGACTGATCATGCTTTTCTCAACCGATGCGCATGCAGCTACTGTCCAGCAACATGACGTAAGTACGATAGGCTTGGACGGGTGTTCAAACGCAAAGCGTCGAGGTACGAGGATGTCGGGCCGTGGAAGTGCCGCGCGGTCAATGGCGGCGTCGCAAAATACGAACCGCTCGGTTCTCCTGCTGAAAGTGTGTGCAGCGAGGCAATGCGGTCAACATGCAACGTTTTCACTCCATCTTTCCGTTCGCGGGCGGGGAACTGCTGTCGCGCCTGCTACTGCAATGCAGTCGTTCACGCTAGAACTCAACGAACGGCAATTCCTTCACCCGGTGCTTGCACTGCGCATGCGTTAGCGCAGCGTAGTCGCTTGGTTACAACCGACATTTACGTATGGTAGTAAAATGTCTGCTCCGTGTATGCTGATACGTGGGGACAGTCGGATGTGAACATGATTTTCTCAAGATTGCCGAGGCCGTTCATGTAATGCAAGTGCCGGTTTCGCTCTTACCATGGTACTCGAGCCCGGCACGAAGGGCCCAGGTCTTCCTTCAGACATGCTTAGGTCCCAGACGTCTCTTTCTATCACAGCAACCGACAGTACTCGGCATCTTGCTGCGGGAAACATAATTTCCAACACGCGAGTGGAACGTCTTACGTGCTGTGAGCGCTCGAAAGCGGGGATGAGGCAGAGTTTTGCGTACAACCTATGATCGGTGACGGAGTGGAGAACTGTCAAAGTCTGTTCTGTAGAGGCTGACAGAAGTTTGTGGACTGCAGCCCAAATGCCAGATTCCAGAGTGCGGGCCGGCATCGCGCTGACATGTGAGAGAATGAAGCGACTTGGTTGTAAAAGGGTCTCGACCTTTACCAGTCGTCAAGTGTCATCCACCTCGGCGTTCAGAGGCTACAGTAGAAAGCCGTGGAGTATCAGCCGTGTTGGGAGCGCCACGTGAAAATGTCAAAAGCACGCGAGGCGTCGACGCCGTCGCCTGCGGCACCGCCTGAAGATGCCGCCGGATGGATAGCAGGCGTTCCTGGTGGTTGACGGAAGATTGCGGCTCGGTACGGGCCCATGGCATTTCTAGGCTTGTCTCATGGCCATGATTGGTGGGTGCATCCAAATTATGAGAAAGTCAGAAAAGCAATACTTTGTTTACTTTCTGTTTCGGAGGTCCTTGCTGCACAACAGAGCTCAATGCGCGCAGCACTGTCGTCGCAACCCGCGATGAATCATGACGCACCTCGTATCGTCTCGATTCGCATGACAGCATTACACGTTGTCGTTGGTGATTTGTGCATGGGTGGACTCGAAATGGTGAGGATCTGCGCGGGACGTTTTTGATGTCGGGCGACGCCTGCCTTAATCCGCTTAGCGCGCTCCACCCCAAGTCAGTCCGCAGTCCAGAACAATGCCTCGTCCGGTCACCAAAAACTTGTTCCTGTTTGTTCCTGCGCTGTTCCTGAAGAGACAGCTAGCCTAGACATGGATGCTGCGTTAGGTCCCCCAACGTCGCTCCCCAAGCCCACTACTACGCAAGATCTTCTCGTGCATATGCCGCGAAAACCAACGTGGCTCCAGCGACCCGGCGAGCGACGATCAATCGTCAGCATCGTGATTTGACGGCTACCCGACGTGTAATTTCCACATCAAGCTTGGCCCCTACAGCCCTACCAAGATTGACGAATGGTCAAACCCCACAACCGGCGCCGTCAGACCGGGCTTGCGGGAGATGGTCTTATCGCACGTGGATTTTCGGAGTTGGCAGTAGGCTTGGGTGAAACACTGCAGGAAAGGCCGAGAAGGCTACGCCATGCGCTGGCTCGCACAGGCGGTGGGCCACAGCTGTCAGTTCCGTTCACTGTGGGCGCTTCCTAATTTCCGTAAATATAAGTAAGTCGAGGAAGGCACCATGAAGCGGTATCTCACTCCTTTGAAGATCCAACTCAACTACGCTCTCTAGCAACCCCACAGTCATTCCTTGATCAACTGATCTGTCATTCATTCATTCATTATGCTTACCTCTACCTTCATTTTGGCCCTTGCTGGCCTCTCCTCCATGATCGAGGCATCTCCTCTTCAGGCACGTGGTGGAAGCAAGCGTGGTCTTGCCTTCCCCAAGAACCACAACGGTGTTTCTGGATCCCAGTGGACTCACAAGTTCGCCGGCTCCAAGGTCTCCTGGATGTACGACTGGGAGGCAGTCATCGACGGAACACCCCTCGACCTTGAATACGTTCCCCTTCTCCACTCCAACCAGCAGTGGTGCACTGAGGGCTGGAACACCAACATTGCCAACGCCAAGAAGAACTACAAGGTTTCGCACGTCTTGAGCTTCAACGAGCCCGACCAGGCTGGTGGTGGAGGTTCCAACATCGACGTCGCAACTGCTGCCGCAACCCACAAGAAGTTCATCCAGCCCCTCGCCGCCCAGGGTCTCCGCATCGGCTCTCCTTCCGTCACCAACGCCGACGAGCCCAACAAGGGAATCAACTACCTCAAGCAATTCATGTCTGCCTGCAACGGCTGTCAGATCGACTTCGTCGTCGCCCACTACTACGCATGGGACAACGCTCAGGACTTCAAGAACTACCTCACCAAGTTCCACAAGACCTTCAACAAGCCCGTCTGGGTTACCGAATTTGGTGTCACTTCTGGCAACGCCGACGAGTTCCTTAAGCAGGTCCTTCCCTGGATGGACGCTCAGCCCTGGATCGAGCGCTACGCCTACCACATGGTCGCACCAAGCACCGACCAGAAGTACCTCATCTCTGCTGATGGCCAGAGCCTGTCTAGCATTGGCAAGATCTTCGCCACTGCTTAGAAGTTTGCTGTCTTGATAGACGCATCACGAGTTACGACCTTTTTACCTTTTACCTTCTTGATACCACGTTACCTTCCTGTCTATAGACTTTGTTGTGACTTCGGTCTATACCTCAAATTATCATTCATTTACTATCAAACTTATTCAATTGTAATATGTGTGAAGGCTATACATTAAGGGATTAGCTTCTGTACTGATATCTACCACCGTCGACAGCTCTACCATCCAGCTCTGCTACATTATACCGGGTTTCAGGAAGTTCATGAGCGGCTACTGGCAGCTCACTATATGTCGGTAATTTTACATCTGCTGTTTGCGACTCTGGTTCTTGTGCCACCTCCGTTGCAGTGCTGGTTGATCGCCGTCTACGATACAAAAAGAAGCCAATGGCCCCTAGCAAGACAACACCGCCCACTGCACCAGCAGCTATGCCGCCCATCGCACCACCTGATAATTTCGACGTTTCTTTTTGTGGCGGGGGTGTGGCGGAAGACGTGGGCAAGGATGTAGCGCTAGGCGAGCCCCCCTTAGAGTTCGCGCAGAACTCGCTGACCATGTTGTTTTGCTTATCCACTGCGACGATGTCGGAAGTCTTCGATCCGGTGTTTGCTTGCCAGATGGAGAACATCCCAGCATCTTGATTGACCATTAGGTAGGCAGAGCTCATGAATAGGCGGCCCAGGACTGGTAGATCGTTGTCGTTCTCGAATTGCAGAGAGTTGATCACGACGTTGCGGACCGATGTGTTCGTCTGAACCGCGCCATCGGAGGCGATATATGTATCGGGAACGACTAGTTCGGTGTTGGGGATCTTTACGGAGACGCTGTTTTGGAGTTGGATCGTTAGACCACCGTAGTAACTACACCATGAGCGTTAGCTACCTATCTTTGGGAAAGAGTTGCCATTACACCTACACGTTGTTTGGCTCAAAGAGCATCGTGAAGTAGTTGATGCCGAGGCTTCTCGCCTCCGTCTTGTCATCTGGTGGCGTTCCACCGGCGAGCGACCAAAAGTTGTTGTAGTGGCTCAGTGGAAGAGACATCAGCCCTGCAAAGCTGGGACTGATGCATGCTTGCATAGCCGCTGATTGTGAACCCATGAAGACGCTCATATCGGTACCATTGGGCCAGTTGAGAAGGATGTCGCCAATGGTCACCACCATACCCGTTCCACATTTACCGCCATGGTATAGCGGGGCCGTGAAGTTGTCGTTTTCATCCGCGATCAATGATCTGTCCAAGCCACCGAGAATCAGCGAGCCCCGAGTCTGCTTCTCCGCAGGGCCACCGACCAGCCCCCAAAACATTGAGTATGCCTTCGTGCCTATATCACCGGCGGATATGAGTGCGTTCAGGAAGGACGAGTTGCTGCCTAGTCCAAGTTGAGACTGGCTGGTGAAAGCTTGATTGAGATCTTGTTCCAGAACGCCGAATCTGAATATAGAAGACTTTACATTTAATGTACTAGCACTAAATAACCTAGACAATCTAAATAATTAACTAAATAACTTATTACTTATAATAGCTACTTAGCTATTACTATAATACTTTTTTTATATATTTTTATTTTTATTTTTTATAATAATTTTATAACTTACTAAAATAGCTAATATTTACGCCTTTTAGTCTATATTTATAAACTAACTATTTAAAATATTCTACTTTACTTAAGTAGGCTAAACGCTAAGTAGTTAAAGTTACTAGATAAAATTTAATACTACTACTCTTTTAGTAATTAAAAAGTTTTTAGCTACTTAGTTTATACTTATAAATATTAGCTATATTTATATCTATATTAGTATTCTTAGTATATATATTTATATACCTTAATACTTATTAAGAATAAAACTATTATAAATTAAATTTATAATCTCTACCTAATTAGACCTAGCTCTATATTAGGTAAAGAACTTTAAAACTCTACTTATATAGCTCTCTCTTTCTATAATATAGTATTTTACTAGTAATATAATTTTAACTTAATATACTTATTATACTATACTATATTTAAAATACTCTATACCTAGAATACTATACACTAACTTTGTTAAGTTATATTATAATTAGATACTAGACTATCTATATATAACTTACTAACTAAAGAAGCGCTACTACTAATATTAGAGCTACTTATTAGGTAAATTAAATACTTATACTCTTTTAGAAATAACTTTATAAAGTGTACTACTAATTAAAGCTTATAAAGCTCTATTATATAACTATAGAGTAAAACTTATAGTACTAATAATTCTATACTTAGGTATACTAAAGATAGAGCTATAAAGATAAAGTACTAGTAGTTAGCTAGAAGCCTACTACTATAATAGTTAGATTTATTAATAAAGAATATTAGAGAGTATTAGACTTAGTTATATAAATAATATTAGATTATAAAGTTAGTAGAGAACTAGCTTATTCTACTTATAATATTAGAAAGTAGTAAATAAATAAGTAAGTAGACGTAGTATACGCTATTAGAAAGATAAAGCGTTTCTATAATATCTATCTATATCTATATTTTATATTACGCTAATATTATTTAGTAATACCTCTACTTTAGATACTTTTTTTAATAGCTTTAGCTTTAGTAATATCTAAAACTCTACTTAGACACTTATAGATAATATATAAAAATCTATACTTCTACTAGTACTACTACCTTTATTAAAGTATTATAAGAGCTTCTTTTTAGTATTTTACTTATAACTCTAGTCTATAAAAGGTTTAGATAGTAGTTACTAAGAACTCTAGACTCTAGATAATACTTATATTTATATTAAGTTTTATAATATTACTATTAAGGCTACTTAGAATAATATCTACTATATACGTATTCTCTTCTATAGCCTAGAAACTAAGTTTTATAACTAGATTAAGCTTCTTAAATATAAAAAGAATAACTCTACTAATATAGATAAATAGACTACTTTTATAATCTAGGTAGATTAAAACTACTTTTCTAATAATAGTATATACTAAGATAAGATTATATTAACTATTACTAATACTATAAATTTTAGTAAGTAAGTCTTTAACTAGTCTAATAACTAGTACTTTTATATAACTACTTTTCTTACTATTATTTATAATGTGTTATATTAGATAAAGTTAAAGAATAATTATATTAATAAGCTTACTTAACTACTTAAAGAAGCCTAGAACGCTAATAGCTCTAAAAGTCTTATTAGTAGTTAGAAATATACTACTAAGAGTACTAAACTATATAAACTCTAAGCTATAATAATACGCCTTTAGACTAGTTACGCTACTAAGTTAACTAGTCTCTCTACTTATAAGGTACTTCTCTTAGAATATAATACTATTACTAAGAAGTATAATAAGCTTAAGCTATAACTAGAAAACTCTATTACTAGTAAAAAGTATAATTAGCTTATTAATAACTTTAACTATAAAAAAAAAAAAGCTAATACTTACTATAATAAGTACTAGCTTAAGATTATAGAGCGTAAGAAAATTACTATAGTACTAGAAAGTAAGAACTAGAAAGTTATTATAGCTTAATAAGCTACTAATACTACTATTCTTAACTTCTAGAATGCCTAGCGTAAAGCTAAGATCTACTTAGATAAGCTTCTTTACTATAAGCTTTTCTACTAACTATACTTCTTTTTCTTTTATAAGTATTATAAGCTAATTCTACTTTACTAACTTAACTAATATAATATATTACCTATCTAAGACCTACGTAATACTTAAGTAACTTATAATTAGTTCTTTTAGAACTTAGAAACCTTTTAACTAAATATAGAATAGTTATAGTTTCTACTATAATACTTAAATCTATATACTAGGCAGAACTCTAGTATACCTATACTAGATAGTATTTTAGTATCTCTAGAAGAAATATACTCTTTAGGTATAGTACTAGCCTTATTTTATAAAATATCTAATATTAAAAAGTTCTATAAAGAAGCTAATAAAGACTATAAGTAATAGTATAAGACTACTATTAATAAGTATACGTCTCTTCTTAATAAAACTTATTATATTATCTATTTTAAGTAAAAGATCTTAGGTCTAGCCTAGCCTATTATTAAGAAAATAAAAGTAACTAACTATCTTAACTACTTAGATACTCTTAATAGTATATATCTAATATATAATTAGTTTAGTAAGGCTAAGACTTTATTTATAAATAGTAGTTTATATTAGAAGTAAAGTAAGACTTTTACTACTTAGTAAGCCTATTTTCTTAGTATTATAAACGTTTTATATATATACTCTTAGTATATACTTATTAAGAAGGCTTATAGCCTTATAAATACGCGCTTAAGTAATACTATAGCTACTATCTCTAATAACTATAAGACTTTTACTAAGTTTCTATAATATATATAAAGTATTAATAAAGCTTTATAAAATATTAGCTTTAGTAAAACTACTTCTACTATAACTTCTACTACTATAAAGTTACGCTAATATACTTTTAGTAACTACTCTTTAGAGTATAAGTAGTATAGTAATTACTATATTAAGTATAAGGTATAGAATACTAGAACTACTAAGAATAAAAAGAAGTGCTATAAGTATAGTCTATACTATAAGTATAGTAAAGCTAGTTATAATTAATATAACTAGAACGCTTTTTATTATAGTAAGCTAATTACTTCTTCTAGTAATATTTCTTTTCTTACTACTTTTAATATTAATAATAATAAGACTAAGAAGAAAGACTTTAATAACATTATTACTAAGAATAAGTTTAAAGATAACTAGTATTTTTAAATACTTCTAATTAAAACTATAAGTAAAAGTATAACTAGTGTATAGTAGCTAAAGCTTCTAAATACTAAGTCTAGTAGAGTAAGCTAATAGAGCTTACTACTATTTTTTATCTTAAAAGTAAGAGAGCTATATAAAGAATATATTATATTTTTACTACTTTACTTTATAGTCTACTTTAGATAGATATTAGCTATTAACTAGAATTTTACTATAGTCTATAATAGTAATAAGGCTTCTAGTAGAAGAACTCTACACTTATAGATACTAGAGCTAGCGCTTACTTTATTAATTAAGAATAGATTAAGTAATAGTACTTTACTACCTTTAAGATATCTAAACTTATTTACTTAGCTCTAGCTAATAGAAAGAAAGTTACTAAGCTTATATATACTACTAATATTACTATTAAGTATAGAAATGTTATAGACTAGCCTTAGAGTTAGAATATACTAAGTATTAATAGAATATTATAAGGCTTAGAACTTAAGAAGCTACGTATAAAATTTAGAGATTTGTATAGTAAGTCTAGACCTTACTTATACTTTTTTTATTCTAGTCTAAACTTAGATAAAGTCTAAGACTATTATATATTTTTAAACTTACCTCTATTATATTAGTTAAAAAAGTAGCGTAGTATTATAGAAAATACTCTTACGCTAAAGTTATAAGCCTAATAAGTAATACGTAGAAGTAAGTCTATATATATAAAGTTTTTAGACTATATAAAAATTTTATCTATATAACTCTTACTACGCCTATATATAAAGTTATAATAACTCTAAACTATATCTAAACTAGAGTTATATTATAATTTTTTATAATTATAATATAGCTTTTATTTAAGGCCTTACTTATACTCTAACGTAACTTACCTTTATTTTAACTTACTCTAAATTTTTTACTTTATAACTTTTATACTTACCTTTTTTAAAAACTTATTAGTTCTAGACTATATTTATACCTCTTAATATAAAGTTCTATATTATTCTTATCTAGCTTATAGCTCTAGTACTATTTACTTTAGCTAGTTCTTTTAACGCGTAAAATAGTAGTACTAGTGTTACTACTACTAGTACTTTTAGTAGCTAAAATCTAAGAAAGCTAACTAGTCTCTCTAGATATAGCTTCTTTTATAACTTTAAAGTAAGAGCTTTAATTAAGTTTAGACTATACTCTAACTAATATATAATAGAGTAAGTAGTACTATATAAACTAGTATAAAGTTAAAAGTAACTTTAATAACTCTAACTTTACTAAGACTAACTTTAAGAATTACCTATATATTTTATATATTATACTACTCTTCTAGTTTAGAAAGTATAAGTATAAGCTTAGTACTAGTTTATTTTATTTAGGTTCTCTTAAGAGTCTAGACTATAAGCTAACTTCTTCTAGACTCTTTATATTCTTTCTATAGCTATTATAAAGTAAAGTATACTTTATATATACTTAAGTTCTTTATTAACTCTAAGCTACGCTATATATTCTATAATTAGAACTACTACGTTAAGTAGAGTACTAAGCGCAGAAACGTCTATATTATAGATCTAAGAATATATAG